TTTTTACAAAAATTTAGGGGTTGATATTTTTAAAGACGCGATTTCTGTCCCGGGGGTAACCTTAAAATACTTATTCAAAACACTTCCCAAAAACGTTTCTTTTTCTTTGTGTTCCGAGCGCGAATCAGAGTTACATAAAACAATCCGAAATAATATCGTAGGGGGCCCCTCCATTATTTTTCATAGACATCACGAAAAGGGTGAAACGTTCATTAGGGGGAATAGTAAAAAGGTGGTACAGGCAATTAAGGGGTACGACGCAAACGCGCTTTATTTATGGTCTTTAATGCAAAAAATGCCGACGGGATTTCCGATTATTAGAAATAGTGAGGAGGGGTTTAGACCGCGTAAAGCGAATCATTATGGGGAACAGGCCTTTCAGTGGTTATCGTGGGTTTCAAAAACACAGGGGGTAACTTTAAAAACCGCGTTTAACGGGGGCGAAGTTAGCTTAGGATCTCGCCATATAAGAGTAGACGGGTGGGACGCGAACACTCGAACCGTTTATCAGTTCCATGGCTGCCTCTTTCATGGACACCCTGACTGCCCTTTAACTAAAGACAGAACAGTAAACCCCATTAGTAACAGACCCTTGACAGATTTATTTAAAAAGACAAACGAAATTACGAAGTACCTTACAGATACTGTTGACGTTAAAGTCGTAGAAATGTGGGAATGTGAGTGGGGGAACCAGAAAAAAATGAACCCAACTATTAAAGACTATTTAAAATCTATTGACAAATCGCAAAAGACACCGACACCGACCTATGGTAAGAAATGGCCCCTGACTGAAAAACAGATCATCGATTCTGTTTTAGACGACTCGTGTTTTGGACTGATAGAATGCGACATTAAAGTACCGGATAGTTTAAGAGAACATTTTAGTGAGATGACACCTATTTTTAAAAATACGGACGTTACGCGCGACGACATCGGACCGTTTATGAGACAATACGCGATCGATAACAACTTATTAACTAGCGGTAGACGGACTTTAATCGGTAGCTTTACAGGGGAGAAAATTTTATTAGCGACCCCCCTTTTAAAGTGGTATTTAAATCATGGGTTGGTGGTAACTAAAATTTATCAAGTCGTTGAATATAATCCGGTTGCATGTTTTAAGACATTTGGGGATACAGTTTCAGACGCGCGAAGAAAGGGGGACATAGACGACAAATACGCAATAACTAGTGAAACAATGAAATTGTTAGGAAACGCGGCATACGGTAAAACTTTGACGGATAAAACACGACATGCGGACATGACCTACTGTAGTGATAGGGATATAGGGGATTGTATTAATAATCCACGATTTAAAAAAATGACAAAACTTACCGACAATGTTTACGAAGTAGAAACGTTAAAAAAGAAGATAGTTTGGGATCTCCCTCTTCAGATAGGCTTTTTCGTTTATCAGTACGCGAAACTTAGGATGTTAGAATTTTATTATGACTTCATAGACAAATATATAGATAGAACCGACTTTCAGCTATGTGAGATGGACACGGACAGTTTATACTTAGCCTTAAGTACCGATGACTTGTTAAAAGCCGTTAGACCGGGACTAGAACACGAGTTTTTTGACATTTACGATAAATGGTTCCCCTCAGAAGTATGCGACTCACATAGACCACAATTTATAAGCGGCAAAGGCACGGTAGATAGTCATTGTCTGGAGTGTAGGGCTAGGAAAATTTATGAAAAGAGAACACCGGGGTTGCTTAAGCTAGAATATGAAGGGGATGGGATGGTATCTTTATGTAGCAAGACGTACCACTGTTTTGGCGACTATAATAAAACATCAACCAAAGGATTATCTAAAAATCACAACACACTAGGCAAAGAATCTTTCATGCAGGTCCTCACAACAAAGGAACCAAGTGGTGGGACAAACACAGGGTTCAGAGCATACAACACGGGGATATACACTTACACCCAACACAGAAACTCACTTTCTTACTTTTACATTAAAAGACGAGTAGACGCAGACAATGTGACAACATCTCCCCTAGACATATAAGGCCTTTTAGTTTACCAACCGTGACTTTAACGAGACTTTACTGTAAATATGTAAATAAGACAGAACCATGACGGTATGCTGATGGGGTTGTATTTATTCAATAAAAACTTATGATATAAACGGTCTTTTTTAAATTTTTGATGTGAGTTATTGTTTTGTTACTTGTCCCTGAAAGTTAGGTAACTCGGTATCCTGAATAAGATGTATGACTGGAATCAAAATGAACCATTTAAAATACTGGATCCGAGTTGGAAATATCCCTTTACCGCTCTGATCGGTGCCCCAACCATTATCACAATTCGCCCTTCCCCTTCCCTTTGTCAGCAACCCCTTCCCCCTTCTCCCATCCCTAAGCTCAATACCAACCGATAGATAAACAGATCGTACCACTACCCACACTATTCCTTGGACAGACAAAGGATGTAGGACAAGCTTACAGACAAGTATTTATTCAATTAATGTCACAACCCCCTAGAAACCACTCCAACAGACTGGTATACATAACTTGTAGACACCACTCCCCAATGAATATCCCCTTCCTAAACACATTGACATTTACTCTCAAAAGTGACAATGTTCCCATCCAAACTTTTAAATCTTTCCATATACAAATAAAAATATCCACACCCAACTTTGAAATCTGCCTCGGTGAAAACTTCACCGACCCTAGTATGAACACGGCCCCTTAATCAATAAAAATTATTGATTTGTACTTTAGAATGATTAGATTGAATGATATGTATGCTAACGTCATATCATATTTAGTTTATACATCATTATTTTGGTGAAATTTAAATGTAGACATTTTAAACTGTGTGTCATTTGACACGACGTACTATAACGTTGTTGATTTTTAAAACTTGAAGTTTATAATCTTAAGCAAATTTACCACCACCTTACCACCACCTTACCACTACTACCTTACCACCACCTTACCACTACTACCTTACCACCACCTTACCACCACCTTACCACCACCTTACCACCACCTTACCACCACCTTACCACCACTTTACCACCACCTTACCACCACCTTACCACCACCTTACCACCACCTTACCACCTTACCACCACCTTACCATCACCACCTTACCACCACCTTACCATGAAACCAAAACCACACCACCCTAGTATAAACTCTACACCTAGCAATTCCTAAACATGGATGGTTCGAACTCAAAACCAACCTCGGTGAAAACTTCACCGACCCTCGTATAAACTCTACACCAACCAACAACAAAACATTGCCTAGGTGAAAACAAAAAACCTATGATACTGTCCGTATAACTGTTAGTGAAAAGCACGGGACCCAACCGGGGGAAAAATCGATTAACGTGGTAACAGGTGTTCCCACACTTAACGCTGGCTTCGCGTTAATTACCATACCCCCTGCTGTGTTCGCTTTAGTGAACAACACATAAACCCACGAGGCGTGACCAAATTAATTAGGTGTGATGGGCCAGCGGCTGCGATCAATACTTTCCCATTAAAACGGGCAGCGGTGAGAAAACTTCGCGGGCGGGTCGATACGTAACACAGCTGTCGCCTGATCGTTATCTTTAATGGATGTTCTATTTTTGTAACGTTCGTTGTGTTGCTGAATGGTCCCTATACAAAGACTGTTCTAGTACATGCTAGTGTTAGTCTTTTATTTAAAACATACATACATTCAAATAAATAAACAACATTAAACAACAAAGAAAAGAAATATATCAAATAAATAAATTAAACAAAGTAATCAAAATCAAATTAATTAAATTAAATTCAAACTAATTATAAAATAAAATTAAAAATAAACAAAATAAAAATAATTAAAAAGTAAACAAATAATCAAATTACGTAACTCGTTAATAAAAATTACACAATATAAACAAATAAACAACAAGTAAACAAACAAAGTAAACAATTTAAAATCAAACAAATAATCAAATTACGTAACTCGTTAATAAAAATTAATTAAAATTACAAAATTAAATTCAAACTCATTAAAATCCAATTACGTAACTAGGTCAATAAAAATTAATTAAAAAGTAAACAAATAATCAAATTACGTAACTAGGTCAAAAATTAATTAAAAATTTAAAAAACTCATTAAAACTCATTAAAATTACGTAACTAGGTCAATGATTACATCACAAAGTCACTAATTACGTCACAAGGTCAATGATGACGTCACAAGGTCAATGATTACGTCACAAGGTCACCAAAAGGTGACCTACTTCCCCACCACCTCCGCCAACCCCAGTTGGCGTAGTATTTTACTATATGTCTTTGCGCATCCTGCGCATCCTGCTCACCCACCCTTACCCTCCCGATGCGCCAGGCTGGGAGTATTTTGCTATATGTCATTGCGCATCCCGCGCATCCTGCTCCCGAGTATTTTACTATATGTCATTGTTCCTCACCCTCCCCACCTCCGCCAAAAAATCGCTCCAAAAGGGACCTAATATACTACTCACGTCAAAGCTGAAGTCAGCGTCGCATCCAACCTTATACACAAATATATTCATAATATATTTAAATATATATATACATTATATATATATATATATATATATATATATATATATATATATATATATATATATATATATATATATATATATATATATAAATATATATATTTATATAATGTATATATATAATGTATATATATATATATATATATATATATATATATATATATATATATATATATATATATATATATATATATATATATATATATATATATATATTATATAAGAGAACTACCACCGCATCAGCTGATAGATTTTACAACGCCGCTGGTCTGACTAAGCTGATCTAAATGTAAGGGATTGACAAGTTATAAATGACATCAAACACCGGTGACAATGTTATCAGTGAATGTTGTGTAGGCCTATAGGTTACACCAGTGTAGAGAGAATCCATTTAAAACAGGATATTAAAGGAAAACTAGACCAAAGTAGGGTAAACAGATAACAGGGTAACAACAGGTGACACGCAGGTTAAGGGATCAGTTAGAAGCATACAGGTAGGGTATAGAAGTAGCAGCATACTGAATTAGTGTCAAAGTAGAAACTAGAAGCAGACTTAGTGAACACGTTTTTAGCAAATTTAAACGTCAAGAAGGTTTTTCATTGACAAAGGTAAGAAGCGTGATATATTTACTTTATTTAGTGAAGTAAGTTACGATTTGGGACAAGGTGTTTCATTCAGTAAAAGAACAGTTCTTCTAGTCTGAGACCTAGGTATGAGAAGGGATAGTGTGGTCAGTACTATGCCCAGCCATACAATATCACCACACCGTCCCGTATAATGAACACTTTCGACCCATGGGCAGGTAAAGCATAGTTCACATGTGTCTGCTACCTCATAATGAGAAGTGACAGTTTGGTCAGTTCTATGCCCAGCCAGGTATCAATTAGAGCTGGGTGGAGGATCGACTCAGAGAAGTCCAATGGTCTGCGTTATGCCACAACACAACGCTGTCTTATTTAAAGTATCCTTTCAACCCATTGGCAGATGAAGTAGAGTTCGCTTATTTCTATGAACTCGGCATATGAGTGTGGTCTGCTACATGCCCATCCGCCTGATGCTTTATTTTAACAGAAAAGAGTGTGGGATCTGAACTCCAGGCCTTCATGTTACCGTTCGGGTGCTTTGCCGTTCGACCATACAGACCTTTTGTCCCAGATAGTTGTTTTTTAAAAAACGCACAGTGTGTTTTTTTGTTTATATAGGCCTATTCTACTACGCTAGGCGTTACACAACTATTTATATCTTACATAGACTGTAGGTGTAGCGGGTAAATAAGTTCATGCACCAATTGAGAAATGGGGCAACACCTAGCGACGATGTGTGTGTGGGGGGGGGGGGGGGGAGTAAGCAGGGTTTAACAAATGGGACGGGCCATTCAATTTGGATTTCTAAGGTTTATTTTGGCCATGAAGTGCATGGGGCATGCGGGATGAGGGAGGGGGGTGAGGTTAACGTTTGTTATGTCATTTAGAGAAGTGTGTTGGTTATTTTTGAACCTTAGTTGCTGGGGTATAATGGGTGTTAGAGAAGAACTATAGATGCTAAAATAGATGCAGTATAACCTTAGTTGGCTAGAGTGTGGATGGAATGGGAGGATGAAGGATCATCAATTCAAATGTGGAGTCGACCATTTGTGTAAATAGGCTAATGATGATGTCAGAACACCGTTGTACCTGCGCAAACAAAAGCTGCATCTTTAAACAGGAGATGTTTCACATGGGGGATTCCCGGTGATATGTAACACTAAAACAAATTGGTAGAGTCATTAAATCAATTAGCCAGGTCTATTTGGGGCAAGACGAAGTAGAGTTCACCTGTTTCTGTGACCTCGGCATATGAAGGGATAGTTCGGTCAGCACTATGCCCTACAGCCTTTGCTTTATCTAACTTGAATCAGGTACCGATCAGAGCTGGGTGGGCTCAGTGACGCTCAACTGACTTGAATCTTTTAAACCAATGAGTCAAGTCATGAAACCAATTGGCCGAGTCAATGTTTAAATAGAAATCTTCTAAAGCACACCAGCAAACACTTGGTTTAAAGATCTAGCATGTCGTAGCGTCAGTGTGATTTGGTTTTGTGAACCTAAAAAGATCTGGCATGTCATAGACCCCGTGTGTTTTGGTTTTTGTGATCCTAAAAAGATCTAACATATCATAGGTCCCAGTGTGATTTGGTTTGTGTGATCCCGTAACATGGTTATACAAGGGTTATTTTAACCACTTTGACTTCCTAGATGATATTTGAGAACTATCAGCTAACAAGTCATGTACAGCTAACACCGAACTTCCTTTTTCCTATTTAGGTTATAATCCTTGAGGATTGTTCAGTCTTTAAATACCTTGATAGAAAATAACGATACAACAGGAAATACAGGTTCTGTCATAGACTCCAAACATTATTTTCTCAAAACGTATAAGTCTCGTCTACGTAGATAAACAATAGAAAACTTTTTTTCTCTGATGCAGGGGTTCTTTCAGATCTTTTCTTCCCTGGGTGTGTGTGTGGGGGGGGGACAACTTAATACGTATGGGTGTGGCACGTCAGTATCGAGGAGGGGGGATGAACGAGGTTTGAAATATGTATTGTCAATTTAAATTTTAATGTTTCTACGTGGTCTGGGAGCGGGTCAGGCAGATGGAGGGGGAAGTGAAGGATGCCGGGGGGAAAAACTGTTCTAATGTGTGCCATAACTTAACTCATAGCTATTCTTTACATAAAATAACAAATATTTGCGAACTCAATTCTTAGTTATTTTTAACGTTCTCTCAACGTTATCTTTCACTATTTGACAATACCGATAGCAAAAATCAATATATCAGAGTACCATTTTAAATAATTGATTTCAAGAAAATAGTTTGCTGTATATTTAAACTAGACAATGACACCATGAGCAATACACATAATTTGCTGTATATTTTAATTAGACCAAGACACAACAAGTATCTTCTGGTATATTTAAACAGACCAAGACACCATGAACATATATCTTGCTGTAAATTTAAACTAGACAAAGACACCATAAACATATATCTTGGTGTATATTTAAACTAGACAAAGACACCATGAACATATATCTTGCTGTATATTTAAACTAGACCAAGACACAACAAATATCTTGCTGTATATTTAAACTAGACCAAGACACCATGAACAATACACATAATTTGCTGTATATTTAAACTACACCAAGACACCATGAACACATGATTCCCTCTACATTTAAACTAGACCAAGACACCATGAACCCAAAGTTCGCCATCCTGCTACTGGTGGCAGTATCTCTAGTTCTGACGACCGATGCCAAGAGTTACAGAGACAGAACCAAAGTACGACGCCCTGGGCTGGAGGATGTCAAGAAGCCGGTCTTGAGACCTGAGGCTGTAGGTGTGGCTGATCCCGCGGCACCTAAAGGGGAAATGACTGGGAATATTCCAGACAATTCAGATATCCAAGGTGAGTTATTTCCCATGTTGCTACCTTGTTAACATATAAAGCCATGTTTTTTATCCAGTTTTAGTAACATATTTTTTTGTTCATCCTAAAAGTTCAGCTTATGTATTGCATAGTAGACACGTTATTGCGTTTAGTAATAGTAACATTATATAAATAAATGTAATAAGTTTAAGTGTTTATAGTACGATTAGATGTATATGAGAGATGACTTCACTTTCACTTATTCTTTAGTGGCCCCCGGGCAGAGTTTCTTCCAGGCATCTCGTCGGGGGGGGGGGGGAGGGGAATCTACCCCCCGCCCCCGAAGAAAGTCTACCGCCCCTGCCCCCCGAACGAAATGAAATTTATATAAAAATATATACTTTTAACAGTGTCCGCCCCCCCCCCCCCCCCCCGAATATTTCAAGTACCCCCCCCCCCCCATTGAAAAAAAGTCTGGAAGAAACACTGCCCCTGGGAACAAAGGGCTGCAACTCACACCTCTCCATCGTACTCTATTGTGTGCAGTTCTCTTTATTCGCACCCATGTAAATCCAGCAGCCCTTGCCTCATCTTCTACTGTCCTCCAGGATTTCTTAGACACGCTTACATTTCTCGTCCCGTGGGGATTCAAGTCTAATGTTTTCCTCGCGTTGTAAATTGACAGCTAACGTTATCTAAGATTATGCTATGGGGAAAAAACTGTTAATAATAAGCTTTTGTAATTTATTTTTTACTTATAAGCTAGGGTACTTGAGAGAAAATAATTCTGAAATATTATTTTTTCCCGTAGCCTAACCCCTTAACAAACATTAGCATAAGATATTTGGTATCTTATTGTTATCCTTTTTCTTCCTACACAAAGGTAAAGTTAGACCAACAAAAGAGAAGAAGATGAAACGTGAAGAGAAGAAAATGAAACGTAAAGGTAAATGTTTTTTTGTAGCCTTGAGAATTTCAAAGGTAGTTGGGTATTTTGGGAACTCAGTCTTAAAATAAAGATACATTCGTACTAAATGGTTTGGAAATTGGATTGGATTAAAACATTACTTTTTTGTATCAACTGGCAGATAAAGATGGTAAAATGAAGAAAACGAAACCAAACAAGCAAGGCAAAAAGTAAGATATTAGATAATACACGTATATTATATATATATATATATATATATATATATATATATATATATATATATATATATATATATATATATAAGAGTGATTGCGACTGTCTGTGTGTTTGTCAATGTGTATATTTAGTGTGTATTAAACAACATGTAATCTTTCTTGACCCAGAATGAACAAGAAGAAGGGCAACAAAGCAACTGTTAATGTAAGTTAAACTGTATGTCAAGGGTTCTCAATACTTTAAGTAAAAATTACTTTGCTTCATGAGTGAATGTGAAGAGTATCGGGTCAATATTTTACTTGACTAACAAAAGGGAGCGAGGATACTCTGAGATGAGATACTGCAGTAGATGACAGCTGATACAGCCAAAGGCTAGAGTTAACGTGAATAAGTATATAATTCTCTTCTTGGAGACAGTAGAAAACACCAAGCGGTAAGCGCGCTACTTACCACCCCTACCCCTACATGGTCTGGTGAACTGTGGTTCACGCTAAATGTTTACAATCGTAGGGCCGGGTTTAGTGACGGCCAGTAGGGGGAGATAAGGTAGTTTGAAAAGATTTTAAACTTAGGGGAGGTAACTAAGAGGAGTTTGCTTCACGGTGGGGGGGGGGGGGGGTAGGGGTTGGGGAAATGAGGGGGTGGGTTGGGGTTATCGTCCTTAACGAGCTACTGATAGTGTTTTAAAGCAAATATTTTCAGTGGCAGCATTGGTACTGTCGAATTTACAAACTATGAATTACTGAAAAGTAGAAAATAAAACAACTAAATAGCCCCGTATGATACGCCGCGGGTCGGCTCGTAAGTATATAAATAAGGTGAGGGGGGGGGGGGGGGAATGCAAAACTGATAGTTCGCCCCGGGGGCAGAAATGGGTTGATACGCCTCTGCCTGGGTGAAGTAGAATGGAAGTTAAAGTTAAATGTGAAGTATTCCTTTGTTTTTTTATTCACTAATCTTCAATATTTTACTCTTATTTTTTTCAGGCACAGCCCAAACAATCCTAGAGTTTGTCACTGAATTTGGATGTTACAATATTAAAATGTAAATGTCAACTGAATATCGCATTGTTAACATTTTTAACACAGTATTTATAAAGAATTTTTACATATAATAAATGGTCATTCTTTTTACATATTAGTTTTGACTAATTGACACATTTGAGTTAATTTGGCTAGTGCTGTTTACTACTTGTGATGAATGATGGTTCAACCGTTATCCTTTATTTTGTGCTGTAAATTTTAATTAACACATCTTAATGTTTGTTATAGTTTCCATAACTTTTTCTTTCACAAGATATTTGCTTAAATTTCATTGAATGTACGAGGCTCGAATCACAAACGAACAACGTTCTGGTTTAACGAGCAGTTTCTAGTTGAATTTTTCTTCTTCACACGATGTGAATGAAGGTGTTTGAAGTATCTTGGACAGTGTTTCCAATCATAGAGACGGGTTTGGTGACGGCTATTAGGGGCAGATAATTTAGTTTGAAACGATTTTAAACTTTGAGGAGGTAACTAAGAGGAGGCTGCTTTCGCGTGGGGGGGGGGGGGGGGGGGAGAGAAGGGGGATTTAGTGTTTTTAAGCAAATATTTTCAGTGGCAGCATTGGTACTGTCGAATTTACAAATTATAAATTACTGAAAAGTAGAAAAAAAAACAACTAAATAGCGGCGTATGATACGCAGCGGGTCGGCTCGTTCTATTATAATTCTTAAAAAAAAGAAATTAGTTACGTTGAAATTTTTTTATTAATGCTATAAAAGTTCATTTGTAATATTAAAAAGTGTTTAAAGAAATTAGCTCAGATGGCCAAATGATACTTTTAATTTTCAAAATGGCATACCCGCATTTGTTTACTAATTTTTATTTATCTGATCTTACTGAGTTTAAAATTACTTACAGTCTTTATTTGATAATTTAGTTGTTTTTTTTTCGTTTTTTTTTATAGGAAATTTTTTTTTGTTTGTTAAAAATTGTGGTCAATGGGAAGTTACCAAAATATTAAAAAATCTTAAAAGTTTTGTATTTCCCATTTTGAAAGTAATTTGTAGAGAAATGTATGTAGTGAAATATTTACAAAAACTTTTAAACTTTTCACCACGTATATATTGTTAATTGTTTTACATATTTATACTGCCTTAAAACTTTTTATACTATACCTCTGGTTTTAAGGTATTTTAATTTATATAGTCACTTATAGTATTTAGCAATTCAAAGCAAGGTAACTCTTTAGCAAGGTAGCTCTTTAAAAAATACAGTGTACATCTTTTTCTTTGTTACTTCCCTTGCATCATAAAATATTAAAAATTATAAAACAATTATAAAATTCCATATTCAGTAAAAAAAATAAAAAAATATATCTGATTCTTGATCCACAAATATTTACAAATATTTACAAAACTAACGAATATGTTTGGTTTCTTTTCGCTTTTCGCTACGGTTCTTATATCGTTTAGAAAAAAACAACTCCATTTGAAATAGCTGTAATATGTTGGGGAAAAAACGATATATTTAAAAAAAAAAGAAAATAAAGGAATTTGTTAATTCTCTTGAACTACTCATTATAAATAAATGTTAGGATGTGTCACCTTTTATTTTCGAGCGTCGTGGTGTCGCTTAAGGAATGCCGTTACGGTCGACCAAAGGATGGGGATGGAGAGGCGCCTAAAATGGGTAGCAGAACAGTGTCAAATTATTAGAAGCAGAGGTAAGTGAAAGGTTTAAAGATTGCCCACAGAGAAGAACTCGTCATTTACGGGACGCATAACTTTCAAGAAAAAGATAATGTGTAAGTTGTGTAAGATGAACGGTAAGTGATGGATGAATTGTATTCTTCTAAGATTTATATTTTCCTGTGGGTGAGGTTGAGCCTTCAATGTAGGGTCAGTTTCAGACAATTTGACCCTCTATAACACGGGACCACGGAAAATGAAGTCGTTAATTCCACCCAGCTTTGATAAATCATTGACACCCCTAACATCAGGAGTTGATGTTAGGGGTGTCTGACTCAATATCTACAGGTGATGTTAGAGGTCCCTAGTATAACATCATCGGGTGATGTTAGGGGTGTCTGACACAACATCTACAGGTGATGTTAGAGGTCCTTAGTATAACATGATCAAATGATGTTAGGGGTCCTTGACACTACATCTACGGGTGATGTTAGGGGTCCTTAGTATAACATGATCAGATGATGTTAGGAATCACTAACACAACATCATCTGCTGGTGTTATTGATTTTTGACAAAACATTAGTAGTAGATTGTATTACGGCTGCCTGGTACAACTAATGAATGTTTTTATTACATATTGCTTGCCAAAATTTGTTTGGGCTATAAAATCATAACCAAGAGTAACGTATTTAATAAAACAAGTATTTATTGAATTATGGCAATGTTTTTTATATTCAACCAATACTTTCAAGAATGCCATGGGTATAACAGTATGCTTCTGAATGATTTCTTAAAATCTAAAGGTCGTTTAAATAATTTAGACACCTGGTATTTTACCAACAATTATCAATCTCATGCAAGGCATCACCACCATTCTATCAGACACTACAAGGTACTTTAATAAAAATTCGATCTTTTATCATCGATCTGCTTATCGCCAGTGATTTCCTCGATAGTTTGTAACTGACCTCTAAAACATGCCCTGAACAATTCGTGGAACGTATTTCTGTACTTTGAGCTCATCTTGTAGTACGCGATGATATTGAAACTGGAATTAACCACGATGAAGATACACCCGAAAGAAATGGCAGCGAAGAAATGACGGTTGTATTTTCCAAGTACCGAGAACTCAGGTTCTACAAATGTCCCCACACATATACCAATAGCAGGGGAGTATGTTACTATAAATAGAATCGAAACCGAAACCACCATGTTGATCGTCTTTTGGTTTCGTTTTGAAAAAGTTTCCGAGTTTTTATTTCCATGACGCCATCGAGTGCTCTGACGTAACTTTACGACCAGGACTGACGTGAAAATGATGACGGCGATAAATGCGACGATGAGGTAGATAGCGTAGAGAAGAGAGCTTAACTCTTTAACTTGGTCACGTGTTGAGGTAAACACTAACCCTAACATGGTGCGGTTTAACTCGGGGTAGAATTTCCAGTCGATATACGACGACATGTATTCAGACAGCAGGGATAAGATCATGAGAAGATAAATAAAAATTATTATAAAAGTAGTCCGCTTCGGCGTAATGATACTTTTGACTTTCAAAGGCAGGGCGATGCACAGACATCTCTCCGCCGTCATGTACATGTTTATCCAGGCAGTGATGCGGTTAAAGCAGGAATGAGGGTACCCGCCTGTTAAATGCTGGACCTCTATAGGAACCATATGAGATTCGGACTTGACGAATAAAGGGTTAAAGCAGAGAAGAAACCATTCCGTGACCAACAGTCCGCAGAGGTCTGTAACAGCTAAAGCCGTTAACCCCATGTTGACCGTGTTCTTTAACCCGTGCTTGTAGAAGATGATGATGTTGATGATATTGAAGACGATGCCGAATACGCCGATGGTGGTGCTGATGATGACGAAGTTGATGAGCTCGAAAAGCGACATCAGGTAGTCGGAAATCTCAGGGAGCGTTTCCGGCTGTGTGACGTCACTGCATGTTTGGTTCTCACACATATTGATGCTTAAACTGTTCTAGAAAGTTCTGTAGTATACAACCCCTGCTAACCCCGTGTATAGTGGTAAACAACCCTGCTTCAACTCTGTCTATTCAAGAACCAACCCCTATTACACCAGTATATTGTAAGAAACAACACTTGATACACCCAGATATTAGAGGAGCCAACCCCTTCTACATTCGCCTCGAACACGTCAGGAATAAATCTCCTGTTTCACGTTATTTTCAAGGTATCGTGTAATCAAGTCCGACAACCTACACATTTTTAACATTCCTTACAGAGGGTAATAAAAACTGTTGTTTTTTACAGCACCTTTAAAGTAACAAGTCCCAGCTCTACTGTTTTCTAGCAGAGGTTGCAGGAACAGATCCCAAGTGTGCCGTATTGTAATAAAATGTTTGAAGAAATCCTAACCCCAGCCTACTGTTTGTTTAAACTAATACTAACAACGAAATTGTTACTTATAGTATAGATACTTAGAGTTTACTTTACTGAAATAAAATATTACAGGTACAAATCCCAATTACAACCTAATATTTTAATTGGACTATGGACTAATCTTATTGTAAAGGCAAGGAAGTTGGGCCTGTCCTAATGTAGACAAATTATTTATCTTAAAAGATCGATCATTAAAAGTCTGATTGTCTGTAATTGTGTACGTTTACCAATACGTGTAAGTACTAGTTTCGAAACACTTGTTTTAAAATATACCGCACCAATCGATCGGTATAGAGTAGTATAATTATAGACAAATTACACTTCACACTATAAATTAACTATACCCTTTGTCAATATTTGATAGTTCTAAACTTTTATTAATTGTAATGATGATTACTCCTTTGCGATTCAAAGTTGCAACTTTAATTAGCATTCTCTTTAACATTAAAATTAATAGGTATTATTATATCTTTGATTGCTCTATAGTCTATGTTGATCTACAACAGTATATTGATCCATACCCCGTAAAAGAAGAAATTTTACCATCTCTTGCACAAAACGAATACGATTTCGAGTGATTTACTGAATTATTAGATGTTTAATTGCACACCAGCATCCATATAGATAGCAATTAGTTTAGTTATAGTTTGAAGCATTCAATTTTAGTATTATTAATTATTTCGGTTGTGTTTCCAATAACTTTGTCATAGTTAGAAAAACCGGTTATAACAAAGAAAATTGATTTTTTTAACAATCGGTTTAATTTTTCTTGTGACTGAATGTTTTAATGAAACAAACAGTGCCTAAGCACTAAATCAAGTATAATTAGTGATTAGAATAAACGCGGCTGGCTGATTTTTTGTTCAGTTACAAGCATTTTATTTTACTAGCAACCCTCGATTTTTGTCTGTCTGTCGTACTTCGTCATGGATCGAAACCGGCGAGCGAACTTTCGACCACTTCTAACCGACCAATTTCTCTGATATTTCATTATTTGCCTGGTTGATCAGGGCCTGATGACAAAAAAAGCGTGCGTCACTATTTTGTCAATTGAATACCTGTACTCAGACGTCCACTCAGTTCTGATGGGTGCATCACTTACGTTAGGGAAACAAGCGGCTGCGCAAAGTAATGACCACTCTAAAGGTCTGAATGCCGAGGTTTTGAAACAGACGATCTAATCGTTATTGTTGATAATTATAAATTATTGCTGATAGTTATGCATTATTGTTGACATTTGTACACTATAGTTCATAGTTATACATTACACTTGATCAGTGGCGTAGCGAGGTCGGGTGTCACCCGGTGCTGCACTTAATGGTGTCACCCCCCAGAGGCGTAGTGACCCTTCTCGGGGACGAACTTTCAAATTTTCGATTTGCACCACCCCCATCAAACTTTTGATTTGCACCCCCCCCCCTCAAACTTACGATTTGCACCCCCCCCCCCCCCCCCCTCAAACTTTCGATTTGCACCCCCCTCAAGTTTTTCTCTATATATTTAGCTATTTTTTGCCTTGGTGTCACCCCCCTAAATGGTGTCACCCGATGCGGTCCGCAACTGAAGGAATCAATGTTATAAAAGGGTTAAATGCAAAGAACGTAAAAATATATTTTTTTTCGTTTATCGCGCTACATTTCTATTTATTTAACCCATATTCTGCTAGCGTCCCAGTTATGGGACGCTTGTAAAAAAAATTACTAAAATTTATTAAAAACTAGTTAAAACACAAATTATGTTTCATTGTATTTGAAAATGGCTAGACTATTGAATTTGTGTGTGTTTTGTGAAAAAAATTAATTTAGAAAAATGTTATAGTGCCGGATTTGCAGGACTTGTCAAAATGGCGGAAAAAAGAAAACATGCGCACAGGAAAATGCATATCTTCTAAAATATTAACATTTTAAGTGCAAAATACATTTGAAACTTGTAGCAGTACCATATTTATATCTGATAAAAATTTAAGAATAACAATTTTTTTTTACTACTTCGTTATATCAAGTGTACAACAAGCGTCCCATAAGTGGGACGCTAGCAACGAATGGCCCCATGTAGATTGTTACACAAACGTCACATTTATTGGACACTAGCGAGAAACACAGATGCCAATGTTTAAGTTAAATGGTTATTTATAGTAAAACAATTGTTGACTTTGTTAACTGCTGACTTTGGGGTGTTAAGTAGTATTTATAGATATTTAATTATGACCTTGAGCTATATTTTCTTATATATTATTGTATTAAAAAATTGCAAATATTGAAAAACTTACAATTTATTTTTAAGTTTTCAGAATTACACTTACTGAAGTATTTAATACCATTGAATACAAACTAATTTAGTATTGCTGTAAATTTACTCGCGCGTGATATTAAAATTATAACAAACCAGAATAATATCAATGGTCAAGATTTAGGTGAAATGAATCAGTCATGGGGGTTGGTTAACTCTCTTCATATAAGAGAGCTTAATAAGCTACAGATATCAGAAATGTGAATTAGCTGTGTACAGTTGTCATGCCCCAATAATATTCCCCTCCAAAGGTTCCCGATACCAGTTTTACTTAGTAACTTTTTAAGGAGATTCCTGTTGTTAGATTGGGAGTTGTTTTCATAGTGAGGTGCATACATGGATGAGAGCCATGAAGACTCAATACAAGCCCCCAGAGACGGATCCGTGACCTAGAAATAAGATGTCTGATGTCCTAATGTACGCCTGTGAGGGGGGGGGAATAGCGAGGGTAACAAAAGAGAAGAAGCTGGATGACATCTGGGTCTGGACCGGATCATCTTTTGCAAATTCACTGAGGGCAGAGTTTCTTTCTGGCATCATTTCGGAGGGGGGGGGGGGTGGGCTCTGCCCACAAAACAAAATGGAATTTATATAGAAAACATGCTTTTACCAATGTCCACCCTTTCCCCTGAAATTTTAGTCCCCACCCCTGAAAATGTCAAGTCCGCCCCCCAAAAAAATCAATTATTTATATTTAATTATATTACAGTTTCGATGAATAATAACAATATTTGTGATCATGTGTGTATAATTAGATGTACTAGTCACAGCTTTACTTATTTCCAAGTGTTGTTCACTTTGATGGACGCTAGATTGAAAGAAAACTAGACTTTTGAACATAATTTCTGCATTTTAACCATGGTATGGCTAACCCAATTGATCATTATCAGTATTTTTAGCTGTCCTAAATAATGTACTCATTGGTCTAACAATACAAAATCAGTATACAGCTTAATTTTCGCGTGATTAGCCATATTTCGTGAAAAAGGATTTTATTTTTCAATAAATGTACATGGGGCCGTTCGTTGCTAGCGTCCCATTTATGGGACGTTTTTAAAAAAATCGATATTTAAAAAAGTATTGATTTTTAAAAAAAATCGATAGTCATTCCTTCATTCAGTGCCCAAAAACTAAACCATATCAAAAAATTATAAAAATTTGAGACCTTGGGATAATATGGGTTTAAATTAAGACGAAATTGTATCCCGAAATTTATACAGTATGTAAAGGATGGAATCCAGTTCACAATAAGAGCTTTTAAATATTTATTTTCTACCCCAATTGACGCCTAACTAGGGTCCGAGCTACCCCCCTCCCCCCCCCCCCCCGCTACAATCCCCTAGCTACGTCTCGGATAACATCATTAACCAACCCAAACACGCCCTTTCATCACTTTTCAGGTTTTATATTACACAAACATGTATGCTATCGATCTGGTTTCATAGAAACCAGCTGCTATGTGCATTAACCAATGAAAACGCAGCTTTCGATTTCGTTTGCAGATATTAGCAGAATTATTTGGTTTCTAAAGCTTTCATTTCGACAAAATCTAAACATGTTGCCAAGAATAGCATATACACTATAGTCTAACCAATGAAAATGCTGGTACGTTATCGTTTAACCAATGAAAAAGCGTCTTTCAGTTTGGTTAACTGTAGCAGGTTAAGTTCAGCTGTTGCATGTTCTCTGTCGCAGTGCTCAAAATAAGGTAACGGCAATCATTTAAAAATATATTTTTTAATTATTGATAACAAAAGAGTAAAATGTGGAACCCATTCGTTACCATACACTATATTGCACTAGTTATTGTTTTATAGCTATTGTGTTTTAATAATCCATGTTTGTTATGACT